TTTCCCTACTATCTGTCTTTGCTTTAGCATATCTTGTGTGAATAGCTAGTTCCCTCTGTGCCCATAACCCGAGCTCTTGGTTTCTCTTTTTCAGTCCTCCTTTGACACCTCGTAATTCATCACCATCTCAAAGAATTTTACTGAAAAGCTCACTTTCGAGTTCTTTTTAATCTACTCCTAAAAATGTATCTCTGGGTATTGCTTGTCTGGTGGCTTACTTTAGCTAGAAATATAGTTCTCATTTAGTCTGGTGTCTGATTCAAGATCTAGTCAGCCTGTATTGCCTTTCTGATATAATATTTCATCTCTGCGTGCTTTTATTACAAGTTGTATTTACTATGGTCATTCCTTATGGAAGGATCTCCTCTGCCAACGTAACCCAATCTACACCCAAGTTAATATTTGTTACCCTGCATAGTACTAACTAGTGCAATTAGCTTAGGTCAGTTTTCATTGAAAAACATTTGCAGCCAGCGCTATTTCGTTAGGGTATCTGTATTTTGCATGCTGAACTTTATTTTCTAGAGTTATTCGAGTTGCTCCCAAAGTATTCTTCCTTCAGTGCTTCCTCTGTTTCGTTATCGTAAATATCCCCCTTTGGAATTTTGAATATTTATGGAGCAAGATATAGCTCACACAGTGATAGTCATCAAAAAGTTGTATGCCAAGAGCTGGACTTGTTGGAGGATGGCTGAGTTGGCCTTTCTTGGGTGCCTTTTTTTGGCGTGGGTTGTGCTACCTTATGGGCTGTTCCTTCCCTCTCTGTTGGTGGTACAGGGAACTTTGAGATGTGAATCCTTTGTGTTGAATATTGTGGATGTAGTTTATTACGTCATTATCTTGTATGTTATTATTGTTGTTATTGCTGCTTTGATATTATTTCTACTAACGGGAGACATCCTTCGTTGTGATTCCTCATCCAACTCTAGCTTCACCTTGGAGGAGGGAGCAGGATCGAAAAGTTACAGTCAACGTGGGATGACTTGAAAACCATTAGGGAAGGCTGAGGGAATGGGTTGGTGTAGGTAGAACAAATAACTCACTGGGTTTTTTTTCTTTTAGCTTGTCCTCTAGGCACTCCTGCTGCAGGATGAATTAGGAATTCAAGGCCTCTTCCTCTGAACCATGGAGACAAGGGCATCTTTCATTGCCGCCATGCAAGAGACCCAGCATTTCTCTCCAGAGAAGGGTCAGAGCCCAGCCAATGGCAACAGGGAGCACTTTGATTCAGGTGAGCTCTTCTTCACCCTCATGGGTTGTCTTCACTGGTACAGCCCTCCAGCTGATCACTGGTAGAGGTGGGTCAGTCATATTGCCAGGGGGGCATTGGCAGTGGTTGAACAGCTTGAAGGCCTTTTTTGGGTCTTATGAATTGGACTGTGTCCTGTGGTTGATGGGTTGGGAAGTTTGAGCTTTTCTTCTTCTGGATCTCTTCTACAGTATGGAGCAGCTATTAAAAATTCAAACAAAAAGCAATGGAAAACCTTTCCCAGGGCATCATATTGTGTTCTTTGTGTTTCTCCAGCCTTTTTTATTTTGTTGGAGTTCTGTGGTTAAAGAGAGGAAATGAGCATTCAGAAATTACGGCATTTCTCCCTTGTTTTGACCCTTCACCCTTTTTTCCTCCAGAATTTTTTTTTTGAGTGCTTCAGGTGACAGGGCTTCACAAACATTAGACCAGCCAGCAGAGAGCTGGTTGCATGTTGTCCTTGCACTCATGGGTATGACTGGATGCTCTGTAATGCTCAGGGGTGGGCACCTAAAGGTGAGGATTCACTGCACTAAATTTGGGCATCGTCATAGTAGATACAGAAAAATAAGCGTTAGCTTCTGGTGACTTCTACTGGAATTAGGTGCTTTAACTTCCCATATCTAGCCTTAACAGGAAGAGACTGTTTCCTATGGTGAAGTTGCACATTATGGCTAGACCTAATCTGCTTTCTTTCTGATGCCAAAATGGGAGACTCCTCTTTATACCATCTTTTCTATTGCACCGCCCCTGCTGCACATCACACCCTGGGCTGAGTCAATCAACTTGCTAATCCAGCAGAAAGGTAATAGAAAAAAAAAAAAAGTCAATAATTTTCAGACAGCTTTGTGAGTTGAACTGGCTGGAGGAAGAGGGAGGGCCAGAGCACATGCTGGTGGGAATGGGACCTTTCCCAGTGGCACTGAATTGTTGATTTGGCTCAGCTATAACTTGTAACTTCTTCCTTGCTCCATGTTTGCATTGGAGAACTCAACTGATGAACTTGTGGAGAACAACACTGAGCTATCAGTCAGTTAATCTGCACAAAAGGGTTTGTTTTTGCATTGTGGTACTTGTTTTGGTGCTCTCATGCTTGAATGCTTTTCCAGAACTCGCTTGCATTTCTGTAAGAGCTATTCTTGACAAAAGGATGCTAAGATGTAAATGGCAGGTGAAAGTCTGTGCTTGCAGCTGGGCCTCGTGCAGGGCTGCCTTAAGTTTACTTCCATGGAAATAGGTGCCCTCATCAGTGGTGAATCACTGTTTCAGCACTCCTCAAATGCAATGGTAGCCGTGCTGGGGTGACTGCTTTAGCACTCTGCATGCTTCGCCTTCAGTGTCTTTTGCATCTTTTCTCTCTGGTGGTGCTGTTTGTGCTTTATCGGTCAGTGCTGTGCTGAAGTCCTTTGCAAAGCTGTGTCTTTGGTCCGCTTTTCACTGTTTCTCTCTCAGCACCTCAGAAATTCGGCCACCCAGCCTTCAGTTTCTTCACTTCTCATAGTGACTCAGTGATTTTCCTATTTTGCTGGACACCACCCACTGGAAAGCTGTGACCAGTCTTTGAATATTTGCCACATTCACTAATGAATTGGCGGGGGGAGGGCTCACAGCAATGAGAGACCATGCCAGTTAAACTATGAACTGTGGTCCTTGAGGTGACCTTGTAAGATTTTTGAGGATGGGCTGTCTTCCACAGGCCCTTGTGCAATGGAATCATCTTCTGCAACTTTGGCATCAAAATGATAAACAAGGGTGGCATGTTTGGCCTGCAGGTTGCCAGTGACCACCTGGGCAGATCTTAGAAGGCAGCTGCATTACGCCTGTGCAATTGAGATGGAAATGCAGGTGGTCTTTCAAGAGGTCAGCAAGAGTAGGGAAAAATGAGAGGTATGTCCTATAAAAATTTCAATCTGGCTGTGTTGAACTGAAAACGTGTTTGAGATGTGGGGTAGTCCAGTTGGTCTTGACATGACCAATAGGTTATAGGTTCAACTGGGCTCTTAAGCTCTGCATGTTAGGTGGGACACAGATGGAAACTTTCCTGTGCTGTGGGGTTGTTAGCCCAACCAAAGTTTTGGGTTTTTTCCATGGTACATGCAGTGGTTCTGGTTGTTTCAGATGGCTTCAAAGGAAACTTGGACATGCTTATGGAAGACAGATGCAGTGTGTTAACTGCGTAGAAACCACGTTTGCCTCAAGGAAACCCCTGAACGAGAAATAGTCGGATGATAGGAACTTTACATGGTGGGGAATCATAGATGGTTGCCCTCATCTAATGGATGTCTCTAGACATCCATGAGGAGTCAACGCACACAGGAAAACTCCACTGACTCTGTGTGAAGGGGAGGGTGTGTATGTATGGAGGGGTTGTGATGAGAAATCTGGATTCATCCCATGTGAAGGAAGCAGGATGTTCTTACGGTACCTTAGGTAAGAACATAAATATTGCCCTGTGTTCTCCCATAGATATGAAAGAGAAAGAGCCTCCCTTCTACAGTGTGACTCGTAGGCATGACTGCTGAGGGTCATCTAGAGTTAAACATCTGAATCTGGAGCTGAGGTGTCTTAAAACACCTTACAAAATGTAGTAGTCTGGTGCTGCCTGTATCACCAGTGAAGAGAAAGATACATGTCCAGAAAGGAAGTCATCCCACTTTAACACAGGTGCTGGGTTGCCTTTGCGTTGGGTTGCCTTTGCATTGAGTTGCCATCTGGAGCTGCCTGTTGCTCCCCACTGAGGATGAAGAAAGCTAACCCTGTCTGGAGCAGAGGGGAACATCTCAATCCTTGTTGCTCATGTGGTGCAGACCACTCTCTCGACGTGGGATTCCTGTCCTCTAATTCAGACATTTCCAGAGTGCAAACCTGCAGCCTGATCTAGTCACTATTGGATCCATTTGTATCCCTGGGAGAGAGGTGGGTGCCTATAGGATGAGACTCAGTTTGCCAAGCATAGACAGTGCTTTTGGAATGGGAAGAACTAGTCTGTGGCGCCTAAAATTGTTTGGGGATGTGGATCTTGGTGACCCTCCCAAGGCCATGCTGGAGGTTTGTTGTTGATGAGGTTCACTACACCCCCACCTTGCTTGGTGTGTTAACTGCTAAAGCATTTCAGTTCTCTGTTCACTCAAAAAGTCACGAATGTATCTATGTGCTGCAAATAAGATGGATAAGCATTTTGCCACAAATACATTCTTCTTCAGTGAAGCCTGGGAAAAATCTGTGCTTCTGGAGCCACAGGTTTTGGGTCTTTTATCCCCATTACCTCCCACAGCCAAACATCCTGGGAGGCTGTTAATAGCTGGAACAGTTGCATTTTTATAGTGTCAATGCATGAGCACTTTAAAGCCATTGAGAGGCTCACAGATAATGACTTGTTGATTTTATTTGCCATCCTGGGCTTGTTTATACATCACCGTATTGAAGGCTAGCCAGCCTTGACTTTTTTATTAAGAAAGAGCGCTGGGCCTAAGTACCAATAACTGGAAATGGAGCTGGTATGTAAAATAGACTTAATGCCAAATTTGTCATCTCACAGGGAGCTCTGTGAAATGCTGGCACGTGGGGTTTTGCAATTCTCCAGCAGAGTCAGGACTTTGTTCTTGGAGCGGTGACCTGAGGAGCGATGAATAGATCAGCTTTGTGATGTCCGCTGCTCAAGTGGACACAATGGCCGTTGTTGTATATTAAAAGGCAGTTTGCATTTCTGTCTGCCTTTTAATCAGGGATCTCCAGGCAATTGAGAGAGGTCGGGAGGAGGTGTCCTCTGCTCCTCAGCAGTAGGGCTTTTCTGATGGTTGAGGAGATTTGAGCACAATCCCGTTACGTGCGTGGATGGGGTTGGGTCCCTTGGGCTGATCTCATCCTGGGACAGCTCGTGTCTCTGCTCTGGATGCCCCTTGCCAGCTTTCTAGAAAGGAACAAAGTCCATTGAAAATATTTTTTTTTGGAAACTTACAATCCCTTCAAAATCCTTTGTGATAAAATGAAGCAAAATAAAACATTGATGCCATGATAAATGAGTGCTCTGACATTATTTTAACAGACCTTGTAAAAGTAATTTCCTGATAAAGTCTGCAGATAAAACACAGTAGAGGAGTCAGACTTGTGATGTGTCAGAGAGAAGCAAATTGACAGGGAGGGAACACTGCAGCTCTCACGTTGCCTCCCCCTGTGGGTCTTGAAGCCTCTCTATTTGGGTTTAGAAAGGGGAGATCTGGGTGCTTTTTTTAGAACAGTTGCTGTTGTGAGTTTTGCTGGAGTACATGTGAATGAACCTGCTGGTGGGACTGGGAACAGTGGGGCCAGTGAGTCTCTCGGTGTTGGCATGTGGCAGAGTAGGTCATGGGTAATAAGATTATGAAGTACAGGAGGCCTTGTTGCATCCATAACTAGCATCTGTCATGCTAACAAAATTGATGTGCTGTTGCAAAATTCTGGAGATTTTGCCACCCTGGAGACACTGCTCCCTGCAAGGGCTGGAGGTCATAGACTGAACTGCCTAAACGTCCCTGCTTCCACTGCTCTGTGGAATGACTCCTTCCCGTAAGACTACTGAGGAAGACTGGAGAAAAGGAGATACTTGTCTGGACTTACCCAGCAGGTTAGAGCAAAAAAGCAGGAACGAAAATTAAGAATATATGGAGAGCATCATGGTCTGAGGCAAATGCCTCATGCTCTGAAATGGAAGTAGCTGAGCAGAGAAGTGAGCCCAGGGCTGACCTGGAAGTGTCCTGTCCATGTCAGATGTCTGAGGTGAAGATGTCCTTGGAGTTGCTGAGCAGCCCATCCCAACACTACAAGTGCAGTTGGACGCAGAAGTGGGGAGCAGCCAGGAAGGGGATGCACTTCTAGCTTTTTGCCTTTTGCTTTTCATGTCAGACATCGCTGACTTTTAGTGGGACTGGGATTTGTTGTGCTCGGGGTAGAAAGTTGCTTAAGCATCAGAGTAATTTTAAGTCTGGAATGGGTAACCATATCTGCCCATTTACTCGTGGACTGAGATACTTGATTTTACAGGCTCAGTCTTTGAAATCTCTGGACATGGTTCTTCTCTAAAACATTAACTCCACAGGGTTGCAGACATTAAGGCTGAAAAATTTCCCTGATCATCTAAGTTGCTTGCCTACATGATATACATGAGGGAAACTCTTAGCAATTTTTGCACTAAGCTCCTACCTTGTGGTTAAGCCGTGGCTTATCTTTCAGTCAAGAATGAACAAACCCCTCATTTTGGGTCAAATATCTCAGTTAGCTTCTACGCCTGGAGACTTTTGCAATGATTGCAAGAAACAAAACAAAACCCATGCATTGAATTTCCTATTTTCAGGTTGTAATCATGAAGTTGGGTTATTTTGTGTCTTGCTGAGTTGAAAAGTCATGTGGTAGCCACTTTGTCACAGGAGTAAATGTTGATTTACATCTTCATATTTAAGCAGGTTAATTGAGTTTGAGTTTAAGGCAAGGAGTCAGACCTTAGACTTGATGCAGCACTGTGCAAGTGTTTTAACAGCGATGACAGCTCAGCGCTCCTCTTTGAACTCCCAGACAGATCTTTACCCTCCACCAGCTCTGTCTCAAAAACCCTCTTCTGATCCACTTTTTTCCCCTCGCCTGTGTGTGTCTGGCTCCATAGGCAGCAAATAAAACCTCTGTCTTCCTCTTTTAATAATGAGAGATTCCCATTGCACAACATAATTTTCTGGTCCTGAAAACTGGAGACCTGTAGCAATAATTGCAATAAATTAACCCTGCTGTTTTCTTCGTAAAACTGTCTGGGGAGGTTTTTTAATTCAGTTTGTCATGAGTCACTTTAATTACATCATGACCATGCTGATGAATGTTTGGGCAGGTAAGGGTCTTGCAGAGTTTGCCTGATAAATGCTTATTGCAAAGAGCTCGTTGCTAGACTGTAAATATTTTTGCTCTGGGGCTGAAACTGGGTTTGCAAGATTGCTTGGGAACAAAATGAAAACAATCAGATTTGGCTGATTTTCTGTAAGTGAAAGAAGATTTATTTTTAATTATTGCTGTGTGTGTTTCAGTGATGGTTTGAGGCCTCAGCTCTGCTCTACTCAGCGTGGTTATGAACAAAAATAATAAAGAGTAGTAATGTCAAGTCCTTTAGTGTGAGGAAGGATCGTGGGGGGCGATGGTGCGGATGGGGGAGGCATGATGCAGAGCTCCAAATCTGAAATGGGGCAAGGACAAATGCAGGGAGCAAGAAGGCAACAGTGGTCTGGTGAGGTGTGCTGGGGGATTTGGGAGAAGGCAGCTGTAGTCTTGGGGGAGGAGGGAGGCATGGGGACCTCAGCTGAGATTTCTAGGTGGAAGGATGCTGAGGAAGGAGAGAAAGGCAGGTGGGACTGAAACTGGGGCTCCTCAGCCCCAAGGGTTTGAGTGTTTGCTCTGCACATTGCTCAGCCAACAGAAGCAACGTCTAGTATTATTACCAGGGCATTGCTGGAATTAACAGTGCTGAGTGACCTGATTTTGCGGAACGAGCAAGACCGTTGTCGCTCGTGGTAGCGGAGAGGCGGTCACCTTCCTTCCAGACAGAGGGACATGAAATACAAAATAAAAGACCACGAGTTCCTGTTGCAGTATGACAGGTTTGTTCCCCCACTGCTGTGAAGGCAGAGTAATTTCTGATCTCAAAGCGCTGACTGTCAAAAGTCCCAGATTCTGCTGAAAGTGCAGTAAGAGCCAGGCAAACTAGATAAACACGGATCTTTAAAACAAGCTTTCTGTTTTCCCTTGTGTTGATGTTTATACTGGTTGCTATTCTCACCCTGAACTCCTTGACACAACTTTTGCCTTCTTTGGCTGTGTTTTAGGCTGCTTTTCTTTCCTTTTTTTTTTTTTCTTTTTTTTTGTTTTGAACAGATGAGGGCTCCAGCATTGAGGATGCAGACTTCAACTGGGATGAGTTCCTGGAGGAAACAGGAACGAGTGCTGCTCCCCACACCTCCTTCAAACACGTACGTGCTTCGTCTGAGCCTTGTGGGTGTTGCGCGTGTTCCCTCTTCTGGTTTTCAGGGAGTACCTGGAGAACTGAAGTGAGGTTTGACCATTTTGGGGAGAAATCATCTCTCCATGCCTGTGACAACCTCTGTGGGAATAGCCTCCCAGCTTGTGTTAGTTGAATTCAGTGTGTTTGCAATCACAGCTCAGAGTGCTGTGTCTATGCCACTTCCTTATCCTCTGCCTTTGGTTCAAATTTTACATTTTTGAGGGCTTATATTGCTCTCCTTTTGCTTATAAGGCACTCATTTTTTTTTTTCTCTTCGTCTATTTTTCCTTCTCTTTCTTTATTCATCATTCTCCATCCCAACCTGTAGAGATTCATCTCATAAGAGTGTCTTATTTCTCCGAAGCTGTCATCTTAATGCATGGTTTACTGACTAGCAGGGTCCCTCACTCAGCACTAGAGTCCAGCATGGCCCATGGGAAAACATCTCTCAGCCTCCTGCCTGGAGGTGCTGTCTCAGGAGCATGAGAACCAAGTACTTGGGTAGGTGATGCTTTTCCTGGGTGAACATGGATCACACAGACAGCGGTGGTAGTTACAACATGGTCTGCGGCTCTGGTCTGTGTTAGCACAAGTAGCATTCGAAGTCTAAAATCTTTACTGATGAAGAATATCAGAGCATGCTTTGAAGAAAGGACACTGTCTCAAAGCAGAGCCCATCACAGTCAAGGATATTGTTGTTTGGGACCAGCTTCTCCATCCACCACCAGTTGTTTAACCTCTTCTATTCAGCTCCATGTGTGTCATGTCACATGAGGACATGGGACAGAAATTAAGCTGATGTATGAGTTCTTCATCACAGTCAAGGGTGTGCGTGTGGCCACATTGGTGGATTTTTCCAGGACATCTTTGTTGTTCAGCTACAAGACTGCTGTCAGAGATGTTGGGGCCTGCTGGGAAGGTGTTGTGATGCCTTCCACTTAGCCAAGCCACGACAAGTCATGGTGGTTCTCCATCCTCAGCTGCAAGTCCCATGAGGATAGTGCTCTTCATGCTCCTACCTGACCCGTTAGGTGTAGGTAGCAACTTGTTCTGCTACAGCTGCTCTTCAGTTGCGCAGGCTTTTCTCCCAGCTTCACCTAGCTGGTCTGTGTGCTCTGGAGGATGTGGACATCTTCATCAGGAATAGAGGGGCTTTAGCTGGGATGCTTTTACACTGACTTTTGCCTTACACTGAGTGTTTGCTGTCAGAGATGTCATTTGGGTACAGTGTAGCTGTGGTGTGGTGAGAGGGAAGCTTCCTGAAGAACCCGTTACTACTTTAAGAGAAGTCTGTATTTGGATGCTGTCATGCCATTAAACCACCTTTATCTCCAGGTGATTTCTTGGATTGTTTCGAAGGGGTAAGGAGCTGCAGTGATGAAAAACCTCTCTTCCATCTAAATTTGAAAAAATAATATAATTCTCCATTCCCTATTCTGTCTCCATTTTAACAACAGTGCAGTATTGCAGGATGAAGGACCATAATTCTCTATACTGGAGAATTACAGGGCAATGCTTATTGTAGAGTTTATCCTTGATCTCCTGGTCTGGAGAGAGCATCTTGTCCTGAGAGCTCCAGGCCTGAACCCCAATACATCCTTGATCTCCTGGTCTGGAGAGAGCATCTCGTCCTGAGAGCTCCAGGCCTGAACGCCAATACCACATCCAGGTAGTTTCGTGCTTCATGAAGCCCACCACATCCAGGTAGTTTTGTGCTTCATGAAGCCCTTAAGGATGTCTTTAGGTGCATGGAGATGCCAACCTCATCCTGCTGATTGCAGTGTCTCACAGCACCTCAATCCTGGGACTGTTGATGTGAGACAAGTTAGTGCTGGGAACAGTCCTTAGTGACTATGCTTCACAATCTGAAACTTGATCCTGAAAAAACCCTGGGTTGGCCAGAACCTGAAAGCTGTCAGAGAAGATTATGTTGTCTGTCTGTTTGATTCCACTCTTCATGTTATTTCCAGTCGCAAGTCCCTTGCCTCCAGAATACCATGTTGGTCTTTACTTACGGTGAGCGCAAGGAGAAAAACTACAAATGAACATGTATCCTGGATTATGTGTGGTGACTCTTAGCATCACAAGAGCTATGATCCTGTCTTATGACAAAGTAATAAATGTCACAGACCTTCTTCAATCTTAAGACGATCTCCAAAGGTCCCTTCCAACCTCAACTGTTCTGTGACTCCAGGCATTGAGGCTGATGGAAGTGCCCACACAAGTAAAGGCACATGGAGTGTTTTTACCTGCAAATAATAAATGGCTTTGGCTGGGCAGCACTCGTGTCATAAACTGGAGTGGGTTGAGTGAGGGAATACTGCTAACATGCCAGAGGAGTGTTTTCTCTGCAACTTGTGAAGTCCTCAGGTGGGCAAGTAGACCATATTATATTTATCTTTGTGAGTGAAAGAGGCATTTTAACCTGTCATTTAAATGAGAAGTTAATCAGAGTCGGGCTTAAACCAGACTTCATAATGTGTCTGGTTTCAGTAGGAGATAAAGTACTAAGAAACCTGTAAGAACCTGTCCTTAAGCATCTTATAGGGAGTAACAGGCTACACTTTGCATGGTATTCTGAAGACAAGGCTGGCACCTGAACCAGCATCCACTTCTTTATCAACAACAGCCAGAGGCATCCCAGTGGCCCTTGGAAGACACATTACAATGTGCCCTAGTGTTTAACAGCAGTCCTTGCAGCATCCTAGAAGAGGTGCACTGGCATCTCCAGTGTCCTAAGGCAAGTTATATGTGATCTGTCACTGGTGAAATAAATGGAAGTGACATCTACATCAGATGACAGGACAGCGACCCAAACCATTTGTGTCTTTCAGCGATGGGTCGTACCTTATTTACCAGGGTTCTGAGAGAGTGAATCGGTTGAGGCTTGAGCTGCTGGGGATGGATTTAGTGGAAACTCTCTCCTTGGTCTGCCTGGTACAGCATTCAGCCCTTGATGCTTGTCAAGCCTCAGGGGGTGCTTCAGTGTTGTTAAATGACTAAATATTATAGTTGGTCTCCTAGAGGTGCTTAGTACCTGCCTTTCTACCTTGCATGTGTCCTATGGTTCGCCCGACAGAGCTGTGTAGTGGGAAGTGAAGCCTCATTTGAGTTACCACTGATTCCTGGGAGGTGGTATATGTATGATGCAAAGATGGGTACCAGTCCTCGCTCAGATGTAGTGCACCACTGCTGGAGGGACTCTTTGGAGCATGCAGGACCTTACATGATGGAGTATATGGCAGTGAAGTAGGAATGGTCCTGCCCAGACAGATTGTGGGGGAGATGGTTGGATTAAGGAGCACTGTCAACTCATGTCCTGTCCCAGAGCTGCTCTTTAAGGGCAGCATTATCTTGCTTAACTGGGGACGGGGTCTCCCTGCAAAGCAGAAAAGGTAATGCCATGTTTTTATCATTTTGTAAGGTTGAAATCAGCCTTCAAAGCAGTTTCCAACCAGGGATGAAATTAGAAGTGGCCAACAAGAGCAATCCGGATACATATTGGGTGGCTACGATCATTACAACATGTGGACAGCTCTTACTGCTTCGCTACTGTGGCTATGGAGATGACCGCAGGGCGGATTTCTGGTGTGACGTGATGACAGCAGATCTTCACCCCGTTGGTTGGTGTACGCAGAATAACAAGGTCCTGATGCCTCCAGATGGTGAGTTCTCTGTGTTTTGTTAGGGTCATGCTCTAGTATTGGGCTGGTGCTTAATCTCTTGCAGGCGATCTGGAACGGGTACTCCGGATCCTCAACTGGTGTTGGGTGACACAGTCAGGGTCAGGTCCCCATGGGCCAATGAGTGATTAAGTTTGCCAGTTGGCCTTTAGCAAAGGCACTTTTGCTCTAGTTGGTAACAACAGAAGGTGCTTCTGTAGGAAGCTGTCTTAACACAGAAACTTAACTGCTAAATTGCAAAGCTGTGATTTTCAGTTAGAGGGGAAAGTTGTCCTGATCTTGTAGCAAGAAGGGATGAAATTCAGAGTGAGAATAAACTAAACTAAGCAAGATCAGTTTGGGTGTAACTGAAACCACAAGTTGGCTGTGCACTCAAATGTTTTGCCCTGGAACTTTAAAACTTTGCAGTGACAGATTCTTGCAGCCTTTAATGCCAATGGTAGATACACACCATTAAAGATAGCAAAATTTGGTCATTATAGGTTAGGGTATGTCCTGATTATCAGCTCTTAGTTGCACAAAAGCTGAATGCAAGAGCTGTGGGTTACTGAGTGGCCCGTGTGGAACACTTTGTTAATAATACATTTTGATTCGCAGTGTTAAGAAAAATGTGGGGTTGTTTTAGCTGCATACAGCAATGGAACAGCTGTGTAACCTTACTACTACATAGCTCCAAGCAGAGGCATATTTGTCACTGCTACTCCTACGTCTTCCTACTATATATCCCATTTGTTCTGAATCAGGGGAAGAGATGAATATGTAGCCTCTGGTTTTTGCATGCATTTAAGAAAAGTCCCGTTTAGGGATTCTGCTGCTGAAGTTATTATATTACTTTCTGTTGCATGTGACCACTGAAAAAAGTGTATGTGCCATTTGTGTGCCATGTGTGATTTCTCTTGCTGTAGGTGTTGCCTGACGTCCCACTGAAGTGAGTTGTAGACATGGTGTTTGAACCAGAGCTGACATTCTTGCCTTGTGTATGCCGAACTCTGAGCAAAATTTATCTTTTTCTTCTGGTCTGTGTCTTTTGAATAAACAGAGGATTGATTGCTTTAAAAAAAAAAATTCTTGAAGTCAGATATGGTTGAGAAATCTGTTGGCTTAGCACTAGTAAATCAAGGCTGTGTGGGGGTTAGGTATTTTATTTTATTGGTCTCTTAAACTACCTTTTATTTCGTGGGTTGTACTCAGTGTTATCAGAAAGGTGTACAGTGCCGTAAACTAAATCTCAAAATGCCAGGGTCAAGGGGTGAGAGATCTTATCGACTGTTGTAATAGAAAGTAACAATTGTTTTATAACTGGAGGCAACTGCTTTTCATGGAAATGTTGGAATCTGCTCTTTGGGTTGTGGCTACTTTGAGTGAATTGTCTTGCTTGAATGACCGCGAATGTGCAGCGAGTGCGTCACACCTCCTTTCTCCTCCGGCTGGGTGATGTGACTGTATACCAGGGTCTTAAATTTGGGCACCTGCCCTGTTTTGGGGGGGGGTGTGTGTGTGTGTGTCCCTCCTTCAGAGTGAACAAACTCGACTGAATAGGTCTTAGTGTAGTTTTCAGAAAGAATAAATTAAATGTGTAGGTTGTAATTTCGAAAGATATTTAAGCATTTAAGAGCTTGGGTTCTATTTTGGAATGAGGCATCTAAAATGCGCGGGGGGATTTGAGCCTTCAGGACTTCTCTCACTTGGGAAAGAGAGAGGTCCTAAATGTGCTCAGAAATCACAGAGCTCCTCTGGGTGTTTGCCCGCAGGGTTCAGCCTGTGGTCAAAGGTGGGTTTTCAAAAGAGCATCGCTCCAGCTGGGAAACCACGGGGAAGAACCTGAATTTTCAAGAGTGCCCCTTGTCTTCTGTAGGGAGAACTGAGCTCTGAGCAGCTTTTCAAAGTAGCTTGTGAGTTCTAGACTTTATGTATACAAGATGTCTGGAGTTTGTCCTGTGCTTAATTGCTTTGCTCATCAGTGAATTTATTTTAATGAGACAAACTTCACTGCAGAGCTGAGAGTTCTGTCTAGTGAAGCCTGCAGGATCAGATTTTGCATCGTACCCTGGGCTGCCCCCAAAGCCGCGTGGCCAGCAGGGCGAGGGAGGGGGTTCTGCCCCTCTGCCCCGCTCTGGGGAGACCCCCCTGCAGGGCTGCGTCCAGCTCTGGAGCCCTCGGCACAGGAGAGACATGGACCTGCTGGAGCGGGGCCAGAGGAGGCCCCAGCAATGCTCCGAGGGCTGGAACAGCTCTGCTGGGGGGACAGGCTGGGAGAGCTGGGGGGGCTCAGCCTGGAGCAGAGAAGCTCCGGGGAGACCTTCCTGCAGCTGCCAGGGCTGAGAGGGGGCTTGGAAGAAAGATGGAGACGGACTTTTTAGCAGGGCCTGTTGCCATAGGACAAGGGGTGATGGTTTAAAACTAGAAGAGGGCGATTCAGAGTATATAATAAGGAAGAAATTTTTGACAATGAGGGTGGTGAAACCCTGGCCCAGGTTGCCCAGAGAAGTGGTCGATGCCCCATCCCTGGCACCATCCCAGGTCAGGTTGGACTTTGGGGCTCTGAGCAACCTGCAGATGTCCCTGCTCATGGCAGGGGGCTTGGACTAGATGGCCTTGAAAGGTCCCTCCCAACCCAAACTCTTCTATGATTCTGTGATTGCTAAAATAGAAACTGATGTTCTCTATGAACTCCATGGAGGTTTTTTACCTTTTTAGCATCACATGCTATTTTATTGCCAGACCTTTGGAAGAAATGAATGCCTGCTTCAAATTGCATGGACCTGTTTTCAAAGGGCTTGATTCTGCACATCTTGACTGCAGTGAGGATATCTCTTGGCAAGACCATGCAAACAGTATGGCCGGGATTTCATTTTAATTAGGAGCTGAAGGCTTTGGTTAAAAAGCGGATCTGCCAAGAAGGACTTGTTTAATGGCAAAATACCAGAATTGGGACAATGCTCTGTTTCTGCTTACGAATCAGATTGGACTGATTGGCACTCGTCTTATAAATGCGATGCCAGACAAGGATGGTACAAAATGATAGGACGAAGAATTTCATTAGATGGGAGAGAGATGTGAGAAAACGGGCTGGTTCAGTTTAGCAAATCAATAGAGCTTGATTTAATGTTCAGCACACGCAGCTTTTAAGGGGCAGCTGCCACATAATCATTGTTTATGATCCCAATCGAAGGAAGTCATTTAATTTACAGACTGTTACATGATTATTTATTGGGTGACGTTAGTATTGCATCATGGTGCCTGTGAGTATAATGTCAAGTCATGTTGTGTCCTCCCATGACATTATGGTGCAACGTACTAGAATAGGACTGCTCAAGCCAAGTACTTGAGTTTGCAATAAACTGTATTGGCTTATGAAAGGATGGTGTGAGTGCCTGTGTGCCTGCGAACTTCACCCTCCACCCCCTCCTTCCCTGCAGGAAATCAGAGGAGTAAAATTGTAGTTACTTCAAGCTTTGCCATTAATTATATTTTTCTCATTACAAATCGGTGTGTAATTTGAATTGCAAACTCAACTATCCTGGCAGAATAGATCTGTTTACTATTCAAAGCAAAATGAAAATTATTTAAATTAGTTAATATAGAACTCATTTGAATGAGTTGGATGTTTATTCATGAACTAGCTGAGGCAAGTGTGAAGCTGTCCTTATGGTCTGTAGCTTTGGCACTGATCAGCTCTAAAGTCACGTCCTGGGACAAAGATTTCTTTTTTATTGCGTATTAACTGTGGTGTAGACCAGTGTGTAGCTGCTGCCTAATGTAGCTGAGTGTGAAATTTTCATCCTTTCTGACAAATGTCCTCAGGAATTGTAATTTATATGAGGAAGGACGACCTGCTTCAAAGTTCCTTGACAGTGGCAAGGCTGTGGTGGTATAGTAGGATTTGTTTTTACACTATAAGGGTGGGATGTAACATAGACTTTCCATTGGTTAGTTAAAATTTCCCCATTATGTTAGCCTGCATAGAAACAGGAACAGCATTTATCCCCTCCTATGTCTTACCCAAGCACTGTCCTCCTCCTCAGCACAGAGCTGATGCAGTTGTTTTTCAACCACCTGCATCCCTTGGGATGTTTCACCCATTGAGCATTAAAAATGTAAGTCTAACTAAACTTGCCCTTACTAGCAGTTCCTGTAACTGTGAAAGGAAGAGAAGTCTCTTGCCTCCTTTAGCCTGTTATCTCCATGTGCTGTTTTCCTTTGTTGATGACAGTTGGGTTCATGAACACATTTACTATCAGGTAGAAGAGCAGCGTGGAGAACCTGACAAGCGTAGTAGCTAAATTATGCATTGTGAACCACGTAGAGAGCAAGAACGTCTTTTGATTGACACTTGGGTGTTTTTGTACAGATTGCAGATTTACAGCTGAGCCAACAGAGCCGGATCTCTCCTGGCACTATCTTAATGCATTCTGGGATGCGCTAAAGACACTGGACGACAAGATTATTGTGTACACTTGTAATTGCCGAGGTGGTTCTGCTTTAATGTTATTGACAGATGGAAATTCAAATAGGGCATTTCTGCGTGCGGATCTACGCGGTCAGCTTGAGTCTGCTCGCCGTGTAAACCAGGAGACAGAGGACACTGGAGATGTAAAGAAATCCAGCGGGGAGAGAACCAGGTCTATATCTTGATTTTACAATGAACTGGTACAGATGGAAAAACCTCTGAACACCATCTATCATTGAATTTGGTGATCAAGATGATCAACTGGACTGTGATTATGTATAGGAAAGCAGCTTTTACTTCTCTGTTACAGTGATATAAGGAGAATTAAAGCTGAAAAGCCTGATCATGAGGTGAAGTGAGTCCCTCTGAATGGTGCTAATCTTCATCAAGTGAAATGTGCCATTAAGAGTGATGGACATAAAACATTTTGCCTGCTCAAGCTTTCTGTGAAGGCAAACATCATCATCTGGTCACTATTTGAAATAGGTTTTTGTGTTTCACTTAGGTTAACTTTTAGCCTAGATCCAGGACA